TCATTTGTAATTTTATATACCACTATGATGCATGTTGTGTGTGTGTAAGATTGCATGTGTTTGTTGAAAGGTATGATTACATCATGTATGCACATGGGATTTGCCTGACCTAATTTCAATCATCTAGACTTGCTCCAGTCAACAGAGATTTTACTCTAAGGTAGGTGCCCATGAGAGGTAGGATGCCTGTTTCTCTGCTATGACAACTAGTTAGCTGTTTCCTCATGGGAACTGTATTTAAGAGCTAGCTATTTGGCATTGTGGCATAAAAAATATGATGATATTTCACATTGTTAGTGACAAGCAACATACTTTGTTAATGGCAGGTGCAAAATACGCAACTACCCAATTTAACAGGTCAGGCAAGAAGAGACACAGTCTGTGGATTTGATTTCCAAACCATGTTTTCTGACAGAACAATGAAAGTGTAAGTAAAATCCAACTCTGATCTCAGAATTTGTTTTATTTTAGATTTCTACATTATCTTTCCAAGACCCTTTTTTCCATCTGATACTTTTACCTGCCCAGTATATTGCTCCATGTACGCTTAATTTTGACTGTAAACTCTGGCCTAAGAGCTCTTTTTTATGTCTTGTCTCAGTAACACCAAACATCTGATACACTTCTTGGGTTGGAATCTAGGCAGTTCTGGAGAACAGGCAATAAATACTCACCAGTATCATCATGGTTTCCAGTCAGATAAAAATGAATTGCTGTATACCTGAGATACACATTTGAATCTAGGCACTGCACCCAGGAGGTCCAGGCAATACTGATGATAACAATCAGTGATCTCAAGAAAAGAAAGAAATGTACTTGCATCAAAAGGGAATGAGTCTGTTCAGACTAAGCATTACAATTAAAATTCATACTTGTAAGACATATGCAGGAGACATAAAGGATGAGGATCCCCACTCCACCAGGATGGAAATGAGAATGATGTCCACAGGATTTACTGAGGGAAGGAACAGCATGGGGGGTTGTTCTGTCCTCTAAGGCTCACCTAAGAGACCACTGCCACAATCATGGAAGTGTCTACTCAAGGAGGAAGTGAGTCTTGTTCAGTCCTGGAAAAGCAATGACAGCATGTCTCAGAGATTATGTGAGCTGAGGCAAAAGTAAGCCATGCATGGAGGTGATGAGCTGTATGAGAAGCCAGTGACATTGTTTATACCACTGGCAGTCTTCTGAAGTCTGCTGAGACAGTTTGTTGTTTCTAGGTTCTCGCTCTTGGGGAAGAAGTGGCTGACCTCAGTTTAGACTCTATCAATCATACAGCTGAAGGACAGCAGAGAAAGCCCCTTTCTATGTGAAGGCTGACGAGGGAAGCCTGGTTATTCCTGTAACACCTCCAAGCAGGGAAGTGCCAGGAACCACCGCTGCTAGCAACTCAGTTGGCTTTTGAGCCAGACCACCCTGGAATGCTTGTGGTAGAGCACGAGAAATTCCACCTATGTGGGACATTTACTCAGCTGGCTGCGAGAGGCTGTGCCAGTTCTTAGTCATCTCAGAGCCAGCCCCTGAAGAGATGGCTTCCTTGGCCTCACTGCCCTGAGTTCCTCTACAAGTCACCCAGTGCAGCCGATTGGACTATTCTTGGCCTATTGCAGAGTATTTTGAAACCAACTATGTTGTAATGCCTGATGTGAGCTGCTGGGTCCTGTGACAGTGATGCCAGAAAGAAATACAGTGACAAAAGAAGCCTTTTGGAAGCCCTCTGCAGAAACTCCAGAAATTACTTCTAATAACATTTAATCCCAAAAGTCAGGACAGATTCATTATCCTTTGTCCTACGCTGGCTTCCAGAGTAAGATTAAGAGCTTGCTGCCTGTACAGCTCTGCTGAGTTACCTAAGGGGACAATACAGAGCAATCCAGTCCCTAGAAGGAAACCACCACAAAGGAGAGGTAATATTCATGGTCTGTCAAGGTACTCCTGCCTGGCTGTGGAATTCACCCTTACCCAACCAAAGGTTTGCAACACTTCTGCCCAGTCCTGTGTGGGAGCTTTTGAGAGAGCCTTCCTGAGACACATGCCAGTGCTGAATACAAAGACTGATCTCCACTGTTACAGGATGTACCACTGACATCCTGGAGCATGGCTTAATCGCTTCTTTCAGAGGAGCAGAAGGGGAGGAAGGAGGAAAGCAATTAAGTTATGCATGAAGCACTTTTTTCCTCTCTAGCTCACTCTCTTTCACATAGACTTGTTAGACACACACTTTCTGGTGCTCTCTTGTCTTCTCTAGCTTCAGTTCCAGCACTCAAGTATATTTCTGTGCATTTTCACAATGTTATGTTTTTCCATAAAACTTCAGTGGCCGGCTGGAGAGGCTACAATCAGACCAGGTAGATAAGGTATCTAGTGGACATCCAGTTTTGGTAACACATTCCTGGGCTTGGATATCTGTGCTGTGGGCATCCCAGCATGGTTCTGGAGCAGACCTTTTAGCACAAGGTTGGTTCCACATAATCTCCCTCTTCTTGCCTTAATTAATACCCAGGAAACTGCTTCCCAGGGTAAAGGCACTGTCATCAGAGCCCTAAGCACAGCAAGAGGATGCCTATTTATGTGTCCAATCAACTTGTAAATGAATGTTACATGAGATGAGGTCTTTGCAGAATCAGACTGAGAAGCTTAATAAGGAAGACATCAGAAACAGCCAAGACCAGCAGACACAAGAGTCTGGGTGGCCCCTCTGGCCCCCAAGTACTCCATTGTCCATCTCTGACACACGAGGTGCAGTGTCTCTTCAGGACAGCCCAGGCTGTTTCTGATATAGTCTCCTGGACCAGACTAAAGCATGCCTGTCCCAGGCATGAAGAGCTCAGTGGAGTTTGGTGTGGGTCTGTGCTTTACAAGCCAACGACAATCCTGGCTATGCAAGCACATTCTGCTTGCTTTATTTTTTTGCTGTCTTTCTGTGTTTGCACAGAGCTGTGGTGAGCAGAACCAGCATCTGTTTAGAAATGCTAAGGCTGGGAACAGTGGTTGATGAGGAAAGAAGAGAAAGCCAGGCAGATGCCAAAGGCATAAATGGTGCTTGGTGCACACATGCATGCAAGCTTGGCCATACAGAAGCAGACCGACTGGCCAGAGTTGTCTTTGTTTTTTGCACAGCTGACTTCCTAGCAGATTTGGGCCACTTGGTAATGCTGGTGTTGCTATTTTTCTAGCAGGTTCAGCACAGAGCCACTGGATCCAGATGAAATGGTGTGGCTGAACTAAGGACTGGTGTTTCTTTTCTATATGTGGTGTGCGGTTTAAACTTGTAAAGTCAGTGGAGATCTAGTCAGTATAGGGAATACACCCCAAAGAGCAACCCAGCAGACCAGCCATGGCACGGTACATTCAGTTGTCCGTAAAGAGACATTCAGACATCCAAGACAGCCACATGAGGCTAGCAGACACAACACAAGATTCTCCTTTCTGGAGGGAGACTCAGAGACCACCAAAGGGCACCAGCATCTTTGTTCAGGTGATGAGTCCCAGCTGATGTGTCTGCTTTAGGGACCTGATCACTCCCTAAGTGGCAGTGACTGTCCCAATAGGATTTTGATTGGCCACAGTGAAAACCTGAGCACATTAGAGCACATGTAGGCACCTGCTTGTGGACACCTAAATGTGTCTTGGCTTTGAACTGAATCCCAGGTGGGCCGTCGGCACAGTCCAGCAGAGGAGGGAAGAGCAACCAAAGAGGATGTGCAGAGGAGGAGAGGAAGCACAACTCCAGATTTTGCTGGCACAGCTCATGCAATGAGGGATTCCCCAGGGATGGGGTAGGCAGTGCACAGCACAGTCATCCAAGGAAGTGAGAAGATACCTCACAGCTGGTTTAATTCAAGTCACGTATGGGAGTACAGGGACAGTGGAGCATAGCCATCATGGAAGGAAATACAGGTTCATTCACTTTCCAGCCATGTGAGGAAACAAACAGACCAAATGAGTTCAGATTCCATCCTGTGGACTTTGGGTGCCCAGGAAACCAGGGCATGACATCATCTGGTGGAAAGGAGACAGCAACTCATACAGCCTCTGTAATGCTGTAAGAAACGGTCACTTCTCTACACAGTGGTGAAACTTCTGGTTTTAAGAAAAGCCAACCAGACACTGCTTACAATGTGCAATTCTCCAAAGGCTGCAAGAAAGTATATGGCAGTTACAGCACTCTGAAAGCTAACTTTGAAAAATCCCTTTCTCCAGGTAATTTTGTCATTTAACAGTGGTAGATGTGGACCCACACAGTGGGTGTGTGACTTTAAAGGAGCAAGTGGGGCCAACAATCAGTCTGAGTTGCTGAAGTGGCCATCACCCCATGCCATACACCTGCTGGGTTGTATATTTAAGGCATCAGCGGGTCTCCTGTTCAGCATACATGTGCCAAACCACAAAAGCTTAGTATTTTACCAAAGAAGGAAAATCTTGAAAGCAATTCAAGGATCTACACTAAGAACAGTAGTTATAATTAAATCCACCTTAAAAGTAGCGTACCTTTTTTTAGGGCTGAAATAGCACTCTGTATTTTAAGCATTGTTGCAGAAAAAGGAGAGAGGTTGAAAACAAGCATTTTCATGTGAGGGTGTGGAAACTCAGCGTACTAAACATTCACCAAGGCTCCCTGTAAGCACTGGAATTCGTCCTGTCGCTGCTGGCTGAATTCGCATCTCTGACCTCCAGCAGCGGGCTGGAGCCCATCTCCGTGCAGCCCCTACTGTGCCGTGCCGAGGGACGGCAGAGGGAGGACGGGGCAGGGCAGGCCCCGGGGCTGAGCGATCCCCAAGCCCCAGCAGGCAGCGAACCGAGGCGCGGCGAAGAGCGAGCCCGGCAGTCCGGGGAGGCCGCTCCGCGCCCTTGCTCACGCCCAGCAGACGCGGAGCACCTGCGGCTTCCGCGCCACACGGGCAGTCAGCACCTCCGCTGCGGGAGGCTCCGCGGGGCGACGCGCAGCTTGCGCGGGTTCCCCGCCAGCCCTCCCCGCCTCAGCCACCCTTTGTACCGGCCCCGCGGAGCGGAGCCCCCGCGGCATGGCGTGGCGGGCGGGCGCACTGTGTCTGTGCGCGGCGGCGGTGCTGTGCGCGGCGGCGGAGCTGCGGCTGACCCTGCTGCACACCAACGATGTCCACGGGCGCGTGGAGGCGCAGGGCGCGGGAGCGCGGGGCTGCGCGGGCGCGGAGCGGGCGGCCGGCTGCTTCGGCGGCGTGGCGCGGCGAGCGGCGCTGGTGGCGGCGGAGCGGGCCGCGCACCGTAACGTGCTGCTGCTGGACGCCGGAGACCAGTACCAGGGCACGGTGTGGTTCTCCCGCTTCAAGGGCTGGGAGGCGGTCCACTTCATGAACCTCCTGCACTACGACGCCATGGTAAAGAGGGCCGGGGTAGTGGCGGGGGGCTGCCCCGTCTTGGGTGGTGGGTCTGTGTTTCCTTTCCCAGCCCTTGCATTGACGCCTCCTGGAGTGCGCAGTGTTGCCTCAGAGAAGTCTGTAGGTCTCGCTAAAATCGTGGTCAGCATCGGCCAGGGGTAAGGAAGGAGAAAAGAAGCGATGTGCCAGGTGACTGGCACCCGACCGAATGGAGTCATGAGCTGGCAGTCCCGCGGGCAGCCAGAAACAGGGAGCTGGTGCCAGGGCTACAGAGAGGAAAAGGCAGGCATGCCGTGGATGAGCTCCCCTTGGGAAAGGCAGGGGCTTGGAGCGAGCTGGGGAGAGGGATCGGCAGAAGCGTGGAATCCCTGGTGAGACGCCTGGCCTGCGATGGAGAGGGTAACCGCGCAGAGGCTCTGCGGGAAGGGCCAGGTGGTGCATGTTGGTAATGCTGTTGCAAAGGGTGAGGATTTTTCGTTTTCATCAGTCCCACCCTGGTCGTGTGCAGTCCCACCAGAGCTGTGGTCTTGACAGGGTGTAAGGGGCTGGATGCGTGTGATCCAGGGACTGGAACAGTGCACCTTTGAGGAAGCTGTCTGGGGCTGCACCAGTCCTGTATTTTTACTCTGTCTCTTTTGGTCATCCGAGTGCTGAGAGAAAGGAGGAAGAATTTGAGGCTGAGATTGGGGGATGTCACTCCATGTCCTTAAATCTTTTGTCTGCTAATACATAAAGCCTGCTAATACATAAAGAATCATTGTGGCTTATTTTGCTTGCATACAACCTCAGAAAGGAGGAGAGAGATTGAAGTTATGTTTGAGGATGACTGTATATTTATGTCATTCCAACTGACAGCTTGAGGAAAAAAATCTTCTGCGCATATCACATCCTCTTGTCTTCATCTTTTTTGCTTTCTCTGGTAAATACTGCTCTTTCCCAAGTAAAAATGGCTTCACCCGTTGCTTCCCTCCGCCTCAGAAGAGTTGTGGAAGGGAAGGGATACCCCAGTACACTCTCTTGGGTTAAACACACTTCATACCAAACAGACAGGTCTGTGAAGGACACTGCTCCCTGTTCTTGTGTCTTAACAAACGGTTTCCTAATCATAAAACTAACAGGCTTTTTCTCCCAGTGGTGTGTGTGCATTTAGGACTCATTCTCACTGGGAGCTGGAGAGCCCTTTGGGATTGTGCAGTGCAGAAATAGCTCAAGGTGGTTTTTCCTACCTTTCTTCCCACAGCTTGCTGCTGACTGTCAATCCTCAGCTGCATGTTTGCTGGTTTAACTGGTTCATGGGCAGGCTGGGGGCTTGTACAGTTCCTGATCATATCACAAGAAGAAATTCTAATGGGCAAAATCAGCAATATTGAGCTTGTGCCCAGTTTTAGAAATGCATTACGTAGGAAGCACGTACTGACTGTTTAGGAGATCCCATGAACTTTTTCATCAGAATAAGGTTAAAAAATAATTCCACACCATAGTGGATAGCCAGAGGCTTGTACTGAATGCTTATGCCTTAGGTGAAGTAGTCAACCACTTGTTCTCTGTGGAGGTGCTGCATATTATAATTTGAATGTTGTCACTGGATAGAAGGGGACAGGACAAACTGAGAAGCTACAAGTACTCAGGACCTTTGCTACCAAAGGTCCTGAGGACAGATGCCAAGTGTTGGACAGTGCTGTGACATCCTTTACAACTCTTCTGTCCATGGACTGTGAGCACCATGCAGTGGGGATGGTGGCCGGGTGTGCACGGGGAGCCAGGTAAGAGCCACACTGCGGAAGAGTGAGCTAGCGTTTCTTTAAGCAAAATTTGGGAAATCATATCCCTAACAGAAGGGGTGGGGATTACTGAAATGGTTAGAAGCAAGATACAGGAGTAGGATTACTAACAGGATGAAGGAGGGAACATGAGTCATGGAAGTAGTTACAGGATGGGGGCAGGAGCTGTAGCGGGATTTAGGGCAGCCTGGCAGCGTTAGAGGTTTATTCCGTAAATGGGATGAATTTCCTTTTAGGTTAGCTGTTTTCTCATTTCTGCCCTTTCTCACCTCAAGCCTGTTTTGTCTTGTTTAGTGAGGTATTGCCTTCCAAATTTTTTTGGCACTAGCCTTGCTTTTTGGTGTAATTAACATCAAAATCAAAATTGAGTACTGCAAAGTCAATAATTGGAGTGATGATGGAAGTCTTCTGGTTTTACTTTTAAGTTGCATCCTTCTGTTAATTTGTATCCTGATTTTGAAATGTTTTTTAACTTGGTTTCTTGTGTAAAGGAGGATTATAGGATTGCGTGATGTGTGCCTAAACATGTCTGTTTATTCCTCTTGTGACTTAAGCTGGCCAATGGATTCAGATTTGGTGAAGGGATATTGCACAGGTACAGCGTCCTAGAAACTCTGGGCATAAGGGTGGTTAGAAAGAGTACAGGAACCCAGAATGGTACACACATCCTCCTCCCCAGAGGACAAGTTGCATCCAATATAAGACTGTATTATTAGCACCAGTGATTTCTCATGAACAAGAGACTGTAACCACCCACACCATGGGAAAAGTTTTGATCAAAGCTTGTATCCTAATGGACATGAAATAATCCAAACGCAAGATACAAAGCCAAGAGAAACAAGGTTTCATAAGTGGTTGGTTGGTTTTGTTGTTTGTGGGTTGTCGGGGTTTTTTTTCCACAACAAGCTAATGGCAGTTACATGCAATTCAACTTATTTCATTTGCAACCTTTTGGGGGGAAGGGTGTAATTGCATGTTTAGGATAAACAGAAGGCACATGCGTCAGCCAAAAGGAAATAGCTTGTTACATTCTGAGATGCCCCACCAGTCCATGGACATCTTTTCAGAACATCAGTCAGCATTGAACTGAGGAAGGAATCAAAATGAGTTTCCTTAAAGTGTTATTCTTTTTTACATGATTTTTTACAGCAAGTTAGATTGCAGTTAGAGTACAGTTAAAAAGCTGATATAGTTGGAGTGCACTGTGGCTTCCCAGTCAGGATTTTCCTAAGGACAGGTCTTGGTTCTTTTGGAAAAGTGCTGCAGCATGATGCAAACAATTTGACTCCTTCCCTGGGGTGCGAGTAGGGTTCTCACTAGCATCAGCAGGAGCAGGTGGTTTCCAGTGATGCCAAAGTTACTGCTGATATCCTGACTTTTCCACAGGGCCATTGACTACGTGCCTGTGGGGATCAGAGGAGTCATGAGTCTTTGTCTCCCCCAAAAGCAAGACTGCCAGTCATTTGACTGAAATACTGAGCTTACATGCCTCTAGTGGTCCTGCTCAGGTTGGAACATGACCAGGGTTAATATAATCTATCTGGAAAATAAAAGCTGGAATAAACACATAGAAGTTGTTTATCTGAGTAGTGGAGAGAGGTGTGTAAGTCTTTTCAGATGATGAATGTGACTTTCCCTGCTTAATCTTCAGAATGAAATTATAAGCAGTCTTTTGTCTAGAAGAGTTGGTCTGATGGCTTTAGCGCTCCTTTCATGCTTTGCTCTGACTGCCACCTGAAAACTTGTCCCAGGTTACGCTATGACTGTTTCTATAGCTATTTCTTCTCTTTCTCTAACACCTAAATATGCTACAAGGTTCTTGTATATATCATGCTTCAGCAAAGTTGCTATCTATGGACATTTTGCTGGTTACTTGGAGGCACAGGCATGTGGCATGTTAGGCTGAGCATGAAAAAGGGGTGGGTAGAAGGAAGTTTTACGGTCCTTTAAAGCAAGTCCATTTTTGTTAAATTAGGCAACCAACCTAGAATAATTAAACATTCTCATCTTGTTGGTATTATGTTGCCATTCGATAAACTGGACTGCTTGTTGTGTGTGATAGTTTTAGTTTAGATATCATAGTTTCCATGATAGTGTTATCATAGAATCAGAGAGTCAGGGAATGGTTTGGGTTGGAAGGGACCTTAAAGATCATTTAGTTCCAACCCCCCTGCCATGGGCAGGGACACCTTCCACTAGACCAGGTTGCTCAAAGCCCCTTTCAACCTGGCCTTGAACACTGGCAGTGATGGGACATCCACTGCTTCCCCGGCCAGCCTGTGTCAGTTCCTCTCCACCCTCACAGTAAACACACCTGCATGTGTGCACACACCTGTACTATGAATTGTCTGTGGAGATTCTCCTTAGCTGATAAACATTTGAACTTCCAGTATGAAATTATATTGATGATGTCTAGAAAATGGCATTTTCTTGTAACATGTTAAAGTGCACAAGAACTTCTACTAAATGTGAATTAAATGTGTTTAAAAACCTGTATTCCAGGCACAAGCTCTTAAAATGCATGTTTTATTTAAAGATAACAAACACTGTCACTGGCATTTAACATTTTCTTCAGTATTTTTTTAAGCAACATATTTTCCATACACAAAATACCTGTTTTCCTCTGTGGCTCCTGTTAATCCTCTTTCTTAGAGTTACAGGATGAAAAAAACAGCGGTTTTTGGTTTGGCATGTAATTGCAGACCTTATTTATGTAGTTTTTGACTGTCACATCTGTATTGATAGAAGAGTCTGAAAAGCAAAAACCTAAACCTAAAAAAGACAAAAATAGCATTTCTGTTTTCATGAGAAACAGGGATGTGCTGTTTTAGACAAGATAGGGTTTTATTCCCTAGAGCATAAACCTTGTTTTCTCATACATACCTTTATATATAATTTATGAGACTATTTAGACTGAATATTGAAGGTAGGTTCTTATATTTTCTTCTTGCTTTTCACAGGCTTTGGGGAACCATGAGTTCGATGAAGGTGTGAGTGGATTATTGGATCCTTTCCTTAAAAATGCTAGTTTTACGGTTTTGAGTGCCAACATCAAGGGGAAAACCCCATTAGGGAACGAAATGATGAGATATGTTAATCCTTTTAAAATAGTACATTTTGACTCGGAACCAGTAGGAATTGTTGGCTACACTACGAAGGAGACTTCTTTTCTTTCACAGCCAGGTATGTTTTCTTTAGTATATAAGTTTATGTCCTTTGTTAACTATTTTATTACTTGTCCACTTTTTTGAATCCAAAGATGAATATTTTCAGCTGAAAAGTGAGAAGTTTTATCAGTACTTACTTGTATTGTTCAACTTTGTAACTGCCTGATTTTTAAAGTGGAGAAGGCTTGTTAACATTAAAAGCCATTTTCATACAGACCTGAATTATATAGTGTCACTGAATTATCCAAGAATACTAAAAAGGTCAGTGAGATTGCAGAAGAGCTGGGGGGTGCTTGTATTGTTGTTGGGTTTTAAAATTTATATTCTTATATATTGTTATTTATGCATCTAAACAGATGTTAAATCTTACCTTACAGTGAAATGTGCTCAAACCAAGGCTTTTCTCTGTGTGTTGAAATTGTGATCTTGGATGCCTCCAAGCTCAAGCCCTAGTAAAAGCAAGGAGAGCTTCCTGTGTATTTTTGAAGCAGAAGTTGCCCAAGATGTTTTTAGTCTCTCAAATATTTCCAGAAATTAGACTACAGAAAGAACACGCATTCAGCTTTTACCACAATTGCTTCATTCATGAGTAAAATTAGAATTGATGAGGAAAAGGCTTCTCAATTTCTGTTTTTTCCAACATTGAAGGGGTTTTGGTTTGTTGAGGTTGGTTTTTTAAGTAAAAGAAAATGGTTGACTGGGATGAGAAACACATTTAAATCAGCTGTAGGAGATCTGAGTCATTGTCTGCTCAAAGCTCAGCCCCCCACATCCCCTCCTCCCCAACAAAATCAGACTCTCTTCCCTATTTTTTTTGCAGGAGGGGTGCCCCAAGCACTGTTTTAAAGCAGTTTCCACACTGAAAAAGGACTTCATATTATTACTTCTCTTTCCATCACTTAGTAATAAAGAAGTAATGCATAGCTTTTTTTAAGAAAAGGAATATTTCATACCTTGAGGAAATACTAGAATATAAAACCGTTCCTTCTGTGCTTTTTGATTCCTATTCTGTATGTTTAAAGTATCAGGAAGTGGATGTCTGAGGTCAGAATAGACTTCTATATCTCACTTCTATTTTACAGTGATGTGTTTTTTGGAGTCCTTTCTTTTCTTCTCCCAACAAAAAAGGAAATTGATCTGTATTTTCTGTAGGCAATAGAATTTCACCTGTGCTTGAGGTGAAGCTCTTGAGGGGTGAAATGTTTGAGGGTAAGTGTCATCTGACATCACGCTAGGTTTGAACACAGTGAGTGTTCTTCTTCATTAGGAATTAATAAACTAGATCTCAACTCTTCTCCCAAACAACTCCATTGCTGTGGTGAGGTCATCAGCTTAACTCACTCGCAAATCAGTTTACTAGAGAAGAGTGCAGGTAGTGTTGGAATGATCCTCTGAAGTATTTAACTGCACTTCCGGTAACCTTTAGACACCATACTGAATGCCTCGGTATGCCGAGATGCTATAACAGATACCACAACTATTAAAAACAGTGTTGAAAGGGAAGGCTGGTTAGTTCCCTAACTGTTAGTTCCCTGGGGCAGCCCTAAGCTAAGTATATCCCGCAGTGTAATTGAGCAATAAGCAGAGCAAATTCTAACAGCAACATTTATAGTGATCCGAGTTTTTACAGTTTTCTGCTTTGCTTTCTCAGTGTGTGGAGGAACATTTGGAAGCTTTGAAAATGTGAATTCAGGATGTGTTAATATAGCTCAGTGACTGTATATCCTCCGTGACCTAGCAATCCTCCAGACTGATAAAATCATGGCAGAGGTGGGTCGGTGGCTAAATGATTATCAACCTAATTCCTTAGTTCAATGAATAAGATGTATTGCACATTTTAAATTCAGCACCATGCTTATCTCTACACACTTCTTCCAGATGATTCTGTTTTCTCAGACTCTGCAGCAGTTGCTTTGGCGTGCTGTATGCTCTTAGGACATTCTCAAGGCAAATAGGAAGTCTGAAAATGGTGAAATGTGAATTCCTGCATGACCATTTTCCATGGAAATCTTTTGTGGGTGTGATTTCTTCTGCTGTCAAATCCCAATAACTTTGACACAATCATGAAATTACAGTTTGTACTTTCATAGTTTGCTGAAAACGGCTATCAGCATACTTGAACGGAGTATGAAGTCCCTAAGTCTCAGTGATTCCATTGTGAAGGAACAGTTAATCTTTGTTGCAGGTACTGTTACTGTTGTTGTTCGGAAACCACAGGGATGGGGAACTCTTAGCACAATTTGTAGGTTACAGCCAATTGGCCGTTTTTCTGAAGTTCTTCCTTCAACTATCTCAGCCAGTTTTTCCACATCCTCCAAGTGTTGTTTATAACTTGGCACATAGACAGAGTTGTCTATGTATTTGTTTTGCACTGGTAATCCTAAGAGCATCTTTCTGGTATTTGATGGTACCAGCTCACTTGCTTTAGTTCTGCAATGGTGTTGTAAACATCACACAAAATGGTAATGTCTTTATCTGTCCTGAGAGATGCTACATACATGTTTGGTGCTGTGAAATAATATGTCTCATTTTGTCCGCCTTATTTTCATGTGAGGTAGAAGCCCAAAGCTGCTTACTCTGTAACCTGACAGGCAGCAAAATATTTACTAAAACTATCAACTTGGCAGAGTTTTCTAAAATGGAATTTTAAATTCCATTTATTCCACTTTATTCTGGCTAGCTTGCATAGAATTTTTAACATGCAGCCAGTTCTTTTTCCTTGTTCATTTATAGCAGTCTGGATGTTTTATCTGAAACTCTGCACCATCTAAAAAGAGAAGAGGATGTCACATCAATTTGATACCTTGAAACAGAACTGAAATACAGGCATGAGCAATAACTCTTAAATAAACACTTATTTCAATTCAGATTGTTTTGAAATACATGCAGGTGGGTGCTAAGCAGCATAGTGCTTTTTGCCTGGTTTCATGGAGGAATCAGCGCTGTGTAATTGCTCTTACAGTCTCCCGCTGTATGACTTTTGAGCCTGCTGGCCCATTTCAGCTCTATTAGATGAAATGCTTGGATGACCAGGATACAAAGCTGTGTGAGGGCTGGGGATGAGGTGCAAGAAGCCTCTGCAGGAACCCCTTTCTGAGGTCAAGGTGGGCAGTGGGCAGTTGCTGGATGGGTGGATTTGGAGGTGTGACTGCCTGTGTGGTTGGTGGTGCCGGTGGCTGCCTGTGCCCTGCTGTAACAGTCCTGGGAGAGCGATGGATTTACTGGCACAGGACAAGCCTTGTTTTAACCCTCGTTGTGAAAGCAGGTTTGCTTGGTTCAATGTAGGTTGAAGATTAATAACAGTATGTCTTCAGTGTATTGTAGGCTGCAGGTAACAGAGGGGTAACAGAGCTGGTGCTGGTGGGGAGAGCTGGGTTATCATGGACCACCTGGCATGGGAGAAGTTAGCCTGCAGGCAACTGGATGCTGGCACAGCTGGTCAGCAGGCTCACTTTTGCTCTTCATGTAGAGAGCCCCGTTCTCTTTACAGAACTGATCCCCACACTGTGGTATGCAACACCATTGTAGCTGGTCCACAGATGGTAAGATGAGTATGTGAAAGGCCTAGGATCAAGGAGCATTTCTCAGACTTCTCCTTTTGCCAGTAGCTCTGTATCAGGCACAGTTTCTGTCAAGCACAAAGATGTACAAAGAAGGGCTGAAGTCAGTGTCTTCCTTCAGGGAGAATAAGGCTAAAGTTGAACTAAGTGCAGTTTTCCACTGTCTTAAGAGGGGGTTTATAGAGAAGACAGGGACAGACTCATCCCAGAGGGACGCAGAGAAAGGACAAGAAACAATGGGCTCATGTAGTAAAACAGGAAATTATGGTGGGACGTAAGGAAAAAATTTGTCACGGTAAGAGCAGTTAAGCCATGAAACAGGTTGGCCAGAGAGGCTGTGGAATTTCAGCTTGCTGGGACCGGACCCATTTGGGCATCCTCATTTGGCTCTGAGTTCCTGCTTTGAGTGGGTTTTGGACTAGATGGCCCCCGGAGGTCCCTTCCAACCTCAATTAACTTATGACTCTTTGATTCTTAAGAGGTCTGCAGGAAGAAAATGTGGGGATGCGCTGCACGATTCAGTCTGCAATGTGCAGTACAGAGGTTCCCTCTGGCAGTAACAGAACTATTCAATGGGTGTGGTGGAGAACCAATTTATGTAACCCTCTTTTATCTTTTCCATTGTAGCTGCTTCCTCTTCATTTCCTGAGACATTTTGCACTGGATCGTGAATTCGATTCACTCCTCCCTTTGTTATGAAATAATGTAAATCTTTTGACTTAAAAAGTATATTTCAAAATGGTTTGATCAAAAACGCAGCAGGAAGGAGAGGAATTAGGTAGAGGCTGAATGGGTAGAAATGTTTCTCGGTTGTCTTCACTGGTAAGTTTAGGATTACAGTTTGTTCACTCTGTTCTTAAACTCCATTCTTAAAACTTTGTCAAAGAAATTAGTCTCCTACATAGTCAGTCCTTTTGCGCAACCCAAAACACTGTGCCCAGGATAAAAGTGCATGTTTACCTAGTGCTCATGTAACTGTTTGTCATGTTAGAATAATTTCAGTGGGCACAGAAACCTTGCAGAAAAACTGAGTTTCCCAACATTGTGGTCCTAAAGAGGTTTCTTCTTTCCAGGCACTCCGCTCTTTATGTTCTCATTTCAGGATGGTAGCTCAGTGGTGTGCTGTGCTGCATTGATGTTGCTGAGAGTGGTTCGCATTAGGTGAGAGAATCTGTGTAAAAAGGCAGTTCAGAGTTTGCACTTTGAAGAAGCTGCTCTTTAAAGCCTCAGGGGGGAGAGGGAGGGAAAGAACAAGATGGGTGTGGAGTAAAAAGAGATTTAATTCAGGAGAAGATAGAAGACCTCAAGGAAATATAATTTGGGAAGGAAAAAAAGCTTTATAGTACAAGTGTTTATGCTCAAACACTTAACGTATTTAGTTTCTTTTCTCTAATTAAATAACAAAACCTGCTCAATTTTTGATCCCACAATTGGTGTCACTGGTATTTTTTAATGGAGTTACGACTTGTTTAGTATAGGCAAGTACATACAGTTTAGCAAAGGAATGTTGTCTTACTCTAAGCACAAAGGGTGCTCCTGAGAGACTGGAGAACATTAGACCAGGAGTTTGGACCAACTAAGAGCATTTGAAAACCACTGATACTCAAAGTGCCATTAATTGTACAAAATAGCACCAGATATAAAACTAGGTTTTTGTTTGTTTAAACTAGTAATTAAAGTACTTTGTAATAATATATTTACATCTGTTCTGTTTTTTAAGGGGATGATGTTATCTTTGAAGATGAAATTGAAGCTTTGCAAGTACAAGTGAATGAACTTACTGCTCTGGGCGTGAACAAAATAATTGCACTAGGACATTCTGGTTTTACTGTGGACAAAAATATTGCCCAAAAAGTGAAAGGAGTGGATGTTGTAATTGGAGGACATACAAACACATTTCTCTATACAGGTATTTAACTTCTTACTAAAATGTTGCTTCTAAAGCAAAGCTAAAACTGTTTCTCTTTAAACTCTGAGAACTTTCACAAATACGGTTTACTGCTGGCTGTACTGGGACAGATCCATAGCTGGTATCTATCCATAACTTCCATGGAAGAAACCGATTTAAAACAGTCTGTAGGTAGGCAATACTCTAACTCACTGAAAGGTTCCTTAATGCTGTGAATGTTCAAAGTGACCTGTGCAAAGCAGGACAGAGAGTGGTAGTAATACTAGTAAATTACTGCCAAACATACCGTACCTGTTTCAAGTTCATACTACAAAGGAGTAAATAAGATGTTTACATTTAAACTTGTGTGTGTTAACAAAAAAAAGAAAAGAATCATGTAAGACTTGAAAAGTGATACTGATGTTGATTTTCTGTAGAATCTGATTCATAGGTCTCCATTAGCCCTGACATTAAAAAACTCTTCCCAAGTATTCTCTGTCTTTTTCAGTCCTACTTTTAATCTCTGATTTTATTATTCATCATTTCAGAGGTAGACATCATTCCAGAGGTGAACACTGTCGATCTCATTTCTTCCACAGCAATGATGCTTTAGGGCAAAACCTGTCACCAGCAGCTTCTCCAGTGCTGCTGCCTTCCCTGACCCCATGTGTAAAGACACAAGTAAAATAAAGGCTGGGCTTTATAAACTATCAAAGATAGCTCATTAAATTTAGCTTGTTAAATTAACTGGTTGAGAATATAACAAGAACTTTCTGTAATTTTCCATTAAATTTCCCTTGTGCTCTAGTCACCAGAATAGCACTGTGTACCCTAGGAATTTAATCACTTCAAGGTTTTGCACTGTTCACTTTATCTTCTCTCTACTCATTTCTTCTCACTTTCTCATGCCTTTTTGTCTCATTTGGGCTCTCACATTTTACCATCCCACCTGTTAAACAGATATGCTACAGATACACATTAAACAGTTTGGAATATCTCTTTAATTTGACCTCAAGGAATAACTGATTACTAAGCTGGAGCCACAGAGCATTTACACACCTACCTACAAGTCAGAGGCCGCAAACACTTAGCATAGGGGTGCAGCAGAGAAGTGGCCAAATTGGAACAGACAACAGGACCATCCATCCCAATGTCTTGTCTCCAAGAGTGACTGAGAGTGAATGATGAGGGAAGAGTGGACAAGCCTGTAGAGAGGCTGCACTCAAGTCTGCCTTCATCAAAGGGGACAAAATGTCTTAAGTCAAAATGGCTTATTGGACATGGTCCAAAGAGATGCCACTGTTCGCAACTGAGAATCGTGATCTGAAGTGCTCTGGGAGTTGAGGTACCGAGTTCATATCTGCCTATATCTGTAGGAGTTCACATGCACATCTTTTGTCATCCCAGAGAGTACCCCACTGTCCAAGTAGACTAGGTCAAGTTGTTCATCCTCTCCCCATTTGAAACTGCACTTGCTAATCCATCCAGGAACACCACGAGTGCATTTGTGAACCTTTCCCTTCTAAGTCAAAGCTATCAGCAAACAAGAACGCAGCCACGTCTGTGGAGGTGATCTGACTGCACAGTAAACATCTAAATTTTGTGTGTGTTTCTATGTGTACATTGAGCCTATAAGCTCTCATTTAAATCGACAGATGTTAGATCAATAACTGGCAGGAGAATCTGGGAGAGAGTTTGGCTCAGTCTAAGTGGAGATAAACCAGCTGGTCAGCTGAATCTGTGGCTGTCACAGGAGTTGAGAGACAAACTGCCCATGGAAGACATCTCCATAGAGATGTCTTAATGTAAGGGCCTAATCTCGGACTAGTCCAACCTGTCTGTCTCTGAGACATTTGGAAATCTTTGGTTTATCCATGTGGCAAATGTTGCCTTGAATTTTTCAGGTGTGCTTTGGGTGTGTAGAACTGATTCAAACAGAAATGGTAATTTTAGGTTAAAGCACATTAATTTCTACTTTTCATCAGGAAGGATGTTCTGAGAACACAGTGTGTTGGCTAAAACAAGGGAAGAAAACAGGAAAATGTTACAGGTTCTTCAGTTACCCAGTATGAATTTGTGCATTTGTGATGAAACAGCATCTCAGACTTTGACAGAGATGTGTGCACGGGTTCTAGTGCTGTTTTCTCTGGGGATAAGAGGAGCTGAAATGTCTTTTCATTTCAGAAGGAGCACATCTGCTCTTACAATGGAATAATGTCATAGTGATAATTAATCCTTCAAGAAAGTATCAGTATCAGAAAGCATTTCTTTAGGAAGCAAGAAATGAATAAGCATGTAACCATGCACAGCTGATGTGAACTAAAATGATGACCAGAAAGCATAAATTTCTCTTGCTGATGCTGTGTTCATTTGAAGGCTACACAAAGGCAAGAGATCAAAACTGATTCTTTTTCAGTTCCAAAAAAAACCCGAAGCCACTTTGCGTGGATAAATCCTGCAGGGTTTTCATTAACTACAGGATTTCTTAAATTCTTCCCAAAATAAATATCAAATAGTGAGGAGGCACCACCAGGAAACCAGCTGTGTTGGCCCGGCTAAAAGTAGAAAAACTAGTTCTCTGGTAAACTTGGTTCAGCTTGTATTTTGTTACAGCTTTTCTCCCTGGAGAAGAGGAGGGACTAGAGAGAAATAGGAATTGTAGTTCTAGGAGGAACGTTTGTCTTGCTTGCTTATCCCAGGTTTTCATGTTACATAAACAATTGTAAATGGAAGGAAACCACTTGTTCAGTGAGCAGTGGAAGTGAAGAGCCTGCTTTCCTCCGGATCCACGCCTGCTCCCCCATGCCTCCGCCGTGCTGGCACCCAGGCTCTCACTGACACAGGGATGGGAAGTGCTGCTGGCTTTGGGACAGGAGGAGCAGCAGGCTTTGAGGCGGCTCTGCAGCAAGGCCATGCAGCACGCAGTGCTTCTCAGAACTGCCTGGCCTTGGTCATTGCTGACAGTGGGGTAGAAATACTGAGGAAATAACAGGGGGGAATGATACTACTCAGATAATAACGTCAAACCGACAGGGAGAACGCTGGTACTCTGGAGATAAGAGCTGTGCTGTGTAGTTTTTCTTTGCTGCTTTCCTCGCCTGTGTGGTTTCTAAATCCTGTGGTAGGCTATGCCGATTGAGCCAAGATCCCTTTTCTTTGTAAATGCCTTTAATCTGTCTGTTTCCAAATCCTACATCTAATCACCCTTCAAACTTTGCAGGTTGATAAGAGTTTTAAATGTATGACCACATAACTGTAATGCTAATGAAAAAAAACACCATGTATGTTTTATTAACATTCTCATTTTCTATCTGATGCTGAATAACGTAGTGTGAAGGCTGAACAATACATTTCTCAGCCAGAGGCTGGTACATGTGCATTACTGAGAGATTTAGATTGCAGTAACTGGAATGAAAAGTTCCTCTGTTGCTGTTGTGACATGATGTCATGGAGAAGTGTGCTGTCATAACTTAAAAACCACTGTGGCAGTTCTTAGAGCTCATGTCCTGAAAACAACATCGTCTCTTATGCAATAACATAACTGAATGTTACGTTACTGAATGTGTATTTGTCATCCGGTACATTTATTGCCGTTTCTGCTTAATGTCCTATTTGGGGGTTTTAAGGCCGAGAAGCATTTGAAACGTCATTCTGATAATTCCTGGAAGGTCACATGAGCTGAAAACCCGCTTTACATGCTCCTTTTGTGCAGGCACCCCACCCTCCACTGAACAGCCAGCTGGCCCATACCCATTCATGGTTGACTCAGATGACGGGAGGAAGGTGCCAGTGGTGCAAGCTTACGCTTATGGAAAGTATCTTGGTTACTTAAATGTTACATTTGACAAGAAAGGAAATGTAGTTGAAGCAGTTGGAAACCCCATTCTGCTGGACAGCAGTGTTCCTGAAGGTATGTGGAACAGACGTTTGAATTTGCCTGCAGCACTCTACTGCAATTCAAGTGTTATTATGTTAAATACACAGTACAGTGTCGAAGAAGAATCTGGCTTTCCTTTCTTCCCGAGCTTGCAGATCTCTTGTGCGTAGGGTTCAGCCTGTGTTACAGTTGTACACTTTTTCTGAGCTGTGGCCTTTGAATATGCACAAATTCAGTGTATGTTTTTGTCTGTTTAAAATGACTGAAAGTCCTTTTGTAAGAGCTTAGATGATACACTACCTTACCATTTGGCAGAGCCCGTTTTAGCTAGCCCTGTAATTATGACTTAAAAGATTGAGGACTAATTTACTCTGTTTTGCCAGAGGCTGGGTTCTCCGGAACAGAGTTGAGGGCAATATAGGAAATTGGAGATGTTCCAGAAAAAACCCTCTGGCAATGTGCAAATAAAATACATGAACCCACAACTTCTTTTTTTCAACACTGATTGTGTTCACTGTTTCAGCTCTGAAGCATGTAAAGGACTGGGAGGAGGAAAGTCTGTTGCTTTCTGTTCATACCCATCCAAGCTCTGTTACCACCTTTTTGTTGGCTCTGTAATTACTTAGGGCTGGTTCTCGAGTCTTCATTTGTTGCCCAGCATTTGCTGTGTGAAGCTTTTTTCTAGATATGAAGCTAAAAAGTTCTTTTTTCAGACTTTCTAGGTTCTACCTGAGTATTTTATGAAATAGATAATTTAAGAATTATTTGTTCATAGATATTCTGATTGACTATGTTATTATCAGTCATCCATGAATGGAATGAGGTGATATAAAGAGACTTTACATTCTCTCTGTGATGGCAGGAAAACTAAAAATTCAGATACATGGGTGCTCTCATTTCATAAATGTTGCTATTGTTGACAGTTATGTGGCAAATTGCTTAAAACTAACAGTTGATACGAAGCAGTGGTGACGTTATCTAGTCACCGCTAGTATAGACAAATCACTAGTATAGACAAGTATCTTTGTATCTGGTATTCTTAAAGAATTAGATTTGCATCTGGTGGACACATGTGCATAGGGAATTAATTTCTGTGAGGAGTTTATTCACTGACATTGGTATTTGAGCTAGTATTCCTTTTAACACTGCCTTAAAGGGGAGGGAGCTATAAATAGGAAGGAAAAAAAAAAGAAAGATACGATGTCAAATATAGACCAAGCTCACTGGTATGTTACAAATTCTCCCACTTGTAAAGGTAGGTGCTACAAAACCTGTCAATCAGAGCTCAGAACAGGACTGGGCAAAAGTACTTCTAAGTGTTAGGAGACAACCTTGCTGTGGCACAGGAATAGCTTGTTCACTTGGTTGTCTCATCCTGCCTGCTCCCTTTCCAGGCTTTGAAGTGAGTGTGGATGTCATGTTGCTTGAAGAGCCTTTAGGGAGAGTGTGACGTTTTAGAATCATGAAGAGCAGGGTCTTTCCTAAGCTTTGTATTCACTGAAATGTCACTAATATGAGATACGTGTGATGCTTATTTTGCACTTTTATACTACTTTATAGATGAGCACATTAAAGATGAAGTGGAAAAATGGAAGAAAGATCTGGGGAATTATTCTACAGAGATTGGAAAAACTAGTGTTTACCTGAATGGTACAAGCCAAGCATGCCGTTTCCAGGAATGTAACATGGGAAATTTGCTCTGTGATGCTGTGGTAAGACATTGCTGCTCCAGGTGACAATGACATCTAAGTGGTACCCCAGAGCTATTGGAAGAAATCCTCCAAACTGTCAGCCACAGGCTCTGCTGCTTTCCAACACTGTGACTCCTAGTGCCTCCCTAGGAAGGTCTGGCAGAAGCCAGGCTGTAATGAATCTTGCTGTACAGTGTAAGGAGCAGTTTATTCTTTGGGTGAACCCTCATATAGAGAGCAGCTCACAGCTGGCTGTGAGGCTGCAGTTTTAAGAGACGTGGTAGTCTGACCTAATGAATACGTATTTTATAGTGGGGCTGAAGGTAATATCAAAGAAGATATAAAACCTTTCTGTCTCTTTTAAGTCTCAGATTGTATTGGCTGTGAATTTCCAGAGCCTAGAATAAGTGAAGATGAAAAATCAGTTTAAACATTTTCCTTTGGTAGCTTTATGAGAACACTGGACATCCAGATAAAAAGTCGTGGAACCATGTTTCAATGTGCATCCTGAATGGAGGTGGGATACGGTCACCCATTGATGAACAGAGCACTAACGGTATGTAAAATAACAAGCTGAATGACAGCTTTATCAAAAAGGAAGCATTGAAGCATATTGAATAGCAATACGTGCAGCTACATCAAACTCAGATTTATTAGTCTTGATGCTTCCTGGATGACAAAGACATAGGTTCTTGACTGGGACAACGTATGTGATTCTTACCTCTACTGACCCTCATTTTCTTAAATTGTATTTATTTGCCACATTCCTTGTCAAAAATGTATAGTTAAACAACCTAAAATGATGTTGCAAACTTTACAGAAGTCAGCATTAAGTCTCGTTCTTCCAGGTAGCATTACTGTGGGAGATTTGCTGTCTGTTTTGCCATTTGGAGGTCGTTTTGATTTGGTGAGGGTAAAAGGCTCCACTCTGAAAGAAGCTTTTGAGCACAGTGTGCGCAGATACGGAAAAGGAAGCGGAGAGCTGCTGCAGGTTGGAGGTATGTTTTCTTCCTTCCTCTTCTCAGTTTTCCAAACCTTTCTATTGGCCTTGTTTCTATTATGCCTCTCTAAGAACAGAAATCAAGGTGGCCACATGTGCCAGCCCTGTGCCTTACACATGCCACCTGACTGCTTATCCTGTATATGTTTAATGGAGTCACTGAAGCACGTGGGCCATCACTGTTCCCATCAGCAGAGACAGGATTCCTGGTTGGTTCAGTAACCTGTAATGGCAGCAGTTTCACACTTCAGTGAACTCCAGGAAGATAAATAATTGAGTATAGCTGTAATACACTAACAGCTACAACAAACTCTGGGTTTCAATTCACTGACAGCTTACCTGAAGCCCTAGATTGGATGTCTCTGCCAGCTATTGCCAAATTTGTTTAGCAAAATCATTTTGTGCCATTGTCTAATGATTGCTGACAGTTTTAGAGTTAGTCCAACTGAGCTATGGAATTGCTGCAGTGACTCCCTAAATAGTTCAGGGATGAAGAGTTAATATTAAAAACATGTATTTCTTGAATTGCAGCTCCCTGTGTATTTATCCAGATGTATAGTAGGCTGCAGTCATGTTTATTGCTGGTCTCTTTGTGATGCAGTGCAGATTTTTATTGTTTATTTAATAGAAAAGCTAAACAAGGGCACAGGCTGATGGATTATCCCCAACCCCTCCTCCTCCTCCCCTTCCCCCCCTGCCTCTCCATTCAAATAGCCTGATGCTGGAGGTGCTAGCCCCCATACGATCTACAACCCCCACATGCCAAGGGCACAGCCCCTGTCTCTCACTTCCCACCACTAAGTTACCGTGTTCTTAGGTACTGCTACAGTAAAGCAGCATCAGCCCCTCTGCTTGCTGCCTTCTCACAGAAGATAGCTAGTAGCTCTGGAAAGGGCTCAGGACAGAAGATCCAGAGCAGGAAGAGAGCCAGGGTTGGAAGAGCCTCTGTGCTTTATAAGCTGTAGTGGCTTCCTGATCAGGAAATTCTTGACAGAGCTGTTGTGGGGGCCTCACTCTCCCCAGACTTTTGACTGAGGAAGGCTCACAGCTAGAAACGTTACTGCTCCTACAGTGAGTAGAAACCACAACTTTCAGTCCTGGCCTGGCTTTCTCTTTTCAGGACACTGCCCATAATAGCTGCTAAATTAGGGTGGCTGGCTTTAAAAGAAGTCATTTCAGCCAACAAGCCAGGGCAATAAGAAAGCATATGACTACAGAAATAAGGGAAGGTGTTTTTATACAACTGTATCCTAGGTATTTTTATATTGCAGTATCCTAATCTCATGACTTTTCCTTCATGACTCCTTGGATTAGTGACAAGAACAGACAATAAGTAACTGAGGTGGGACAGTGCTTCAGCATTTCTCTAACATCCTAAGTTTCGTTGCATAAAAGTTGAGTAGTGTGCAAGGAAAACGGCATTAACTGGCATAATTCAGAACGACACAACCTCTCGGGCTGATGTTAACCTCTCAGTTAATGTAAAGAATCAGGTGAAGATGACAGAGGATGATGCCCCTAGCCCTGGATGTTCAATACGCGCTGCATAAAGTGGCATTCCACCGTGTATTTTTGTAGGCATCCACGTGGTCTATGATCTCTCCAGAGCCCCAGGAAGCAGAGTTGTTACCTTAGAAGTGCTCTGCACAGCCTGCCGCGTTCCAGCCTATGTCCCACTCCAGATGGACCAAATATATAATGTGACACTTCCATCCTATATGTTATTTGGAGGTGATGGCTATCATATGCTGAAAGACAAAAATCTGGGATACAGTAAAGGTAAGTATGAGAACCAACAGGGCTCAGACTTTTTATTTTACTGGATAAATTATTTTCTAGTCTGACTTCTTGTTTGGTTTTAGCCAGCAGTTATGTTCTTTTTTACTTATAGCACAAAAGGTTCAAAGAGAAACTGAGCCTCATCCGTTCAGCACTGCTTAGAGAGTGGTTCTGCAATCAGGATAAGCCAGAAAAGGAGCAAAACCACATATGGCCTTGCACATGTACTCATTACAAAACAAGGCATCAAAAAAGATGATGCTATTTTCTTTGGCCTTTAAATTTCCACTTTATAGAAGTATTTGCAAAGACAGAATGATCACCTCTATTACTGAAGGACATGCAGTTCAGGCAAGGGGACTGATGCTGAGCTGCTCTGCGGGAGTTAGCCTGCCCCTCCGAAAGCAGCAGGACTCTGGCGACAGCCACCCTGCTAGAGACTTAAAAAGGAAGTGTTTTGCAATGCTGTGTGAAGCTCCTCTGAAGCTGCATGCAAACTGTTAGAAACTCAGCGTTCATCCAGTGGACACATACATCCCTTAAGACAAAGAGAACCTTGAAAAAACTTTTGAGATGAAAATTGATTATTTCTGAAAACACAAAGAGGCTGTAGTGCTGTGGTTAAAGTATCTCCTAGGAGCACATCTATGTTTTGCCAAACTTTTAATTTCATGTGCTCTGATTCTGGATGGTATAAAGGCATGCTTTTACAAAAAAAAAAAAAAGAAAAAATCCCTTTGAACCTGTATTACAGCTCTTCTTTTGTTTCTACAGATGTTTCAATTTAAAATTGATTCTCAGATTGGTGTTAAATTTAGCCTACAGCTTGCAAATTTGGGGAGGCTGTCCCTCACACTAATTATCCATTCATGCAGAAATAAATTCACATATAAAGCATTAGGAATCATAGAATGGTTTGGGTTGGAAAGGACCTTAAGATCACCTTAAGGTCCAACCCCCCTGCCATGGGCAGGGATGCCTCACACTAGACCATGTCACCCAAGGCTCTGTCCAGCCTGGCCTTGAACACTGACAGGGATGGAGCATTTACCACTTCTCTGGGCAACCTGTGCCAGTGGCTCATCACCCTCACAGTGAAGACCTTCTTCTGCATATCTGATCTTAATCTTTAGATCCAGGTTGGAAGGGGGGTTTGAGTAACTGGTGCAGTGGAAGGTGTCCCTGCCTGTGGCAGGGGGGTTGGAACTGGATGATCTTTACAGTCCCTTCAAACACAAACCGTTCTATGATTCTGTGATGATTCTATGAATTTTAGACAGGTTCTTAAATGTTGGTTAAGAGCCAGGCTGCTGCAGAGAACTCTTGTTTTGTCTGTTTGTTTAGGTGAACCTGATATTGAAGTTGTTACCCGTTACCTCCAGAGAATGAAGAGAGTTTACCCAGCAGTTGAAGGTCGAATAAAGTTTTCTTCTGGAAGTCTTATTGAAGCAAGTCTTACCCTGATTTCTGTATTGTTCACTGTAACGTTCTTGCATACTTGATTTTTGCTTGCTGTGTTTCCATTCAGTGAGGAAGGCAGGCAGAGAGATGATGCCAACAAAGGGAAAAGAGAACTGTTCCCTTTTCTTAAACCTTAAAATGAATGTGTGTTGAGGTTTCTGCTTATCAACAGTGAACAGTACAAGCCATTGCTTCAATGCCTCTACCAGATTAAAGACACATGGTGCAGAACAAGAGGGCAGAATTCAGAACTTTTCTTAGCTTCAATCTGCAGGTACCTTTTTCAAGTTTCAAGGAGCAAAGTTCCAGGGAATATTCATGCTCCATTGTAAAACAACCACTGACCAAAATGGGATGTTTTTAACTTGTCTTTTTTTTAGCTACTTTAGATAATGAGTTGATTAAGAATCTGGTTCCAGTAATGTAAACAAGCTTCTAAATCTCCACTCAGGGTTAAAGCTCCCAGTCTGCTATTTCTACTGTGTTTCCAGTCATATGCGTTGTAGAGCTGGATTAAACTCAGTGTCATTAAAAGCATGGGGTCCATTTACATGCAACTGAAAAAAGTTTTTCCAATTTTCCTTTTGAAGATGCAGCATCTCACTTATGTTTTCCATTAATAAATAATGCAATGAAAGCTTGATTTGATTTGCATCAATTTAAACAAACTATATACTTCACTATATAATATGACCAGTTTGGAGACTATCCAAGTGAGAACACTATCTGTGATTATGGTGCATCTTTGTATGAAAAAGTTTACACCTTTTTCTAAAGACAAAAGCACAGGACTCCTGCCCATTACTCTGTTATCAGCAGCATTCAGAGAGAATGTCACAGATGTGTATCAACTCCTTTGGAAGTAGCCCAATAACAGGGCTTTTTACAGCAGAACCTAGCTTTATGACAATTGTGATCATAACTCAAAAGCCTATCTCATCTATGGCAAGACTGTGTTTGAGAAACACACAGTTCTGAGATGGGCTAATGAGTAATGGAGCTTTGATCAACCTGGTCTAGTGGAAGGCATCCCTGCCCACAGCAGGGGGGCTGGAACTAGATGCTCTTTAGGGTCCCTTTCAACCCAAACCATTCTATGATTCTGTAAGTATACAGTCAGAAATCAGATTAAATGCTAAGTGACATTTCTGGCACTTCAGCAAGAAGTGACATCTTATAATATAATGCAATCAATTATTTTTATAAGATCATTCACACTGGAATTCTCACATCACATTTCCATATTGTTTATTGCCAAATTAAACTGATTATGAGTCTTCTGAATAGACCTGCTGTGTTCTTCTGGGAAGTACACTACACTTTTGCAGACTGAAGCTACTCACTTCTTAAATCCACTGCACCTATGGATTTCCAGGAGAAGGTACATCATGATAAACATTCAGTGTGTATAAATTTCAAGACCTCATTAGTTTCCACATAAATTCAAGGGTTGTGCATGAAAAGATCTGAACTACGCAGCTGCATTAGGTAAGTTGTTTGTCTCCCTGTTCTAACAACAGCTGACCTTGACACACTACTTATAACATGGCATTGATGATTTGTCAGTACCAGCCCCAGAAGTTACTAATTTACAGAATGGTCTTCCCCAAATCAACATAAAGCCAGTAACAGGGAGTGCACTTACAGACAGAACCATACCCACACACCTGTTTTTAAAGAGCTATAACAACTACTTTGGCATACCCAGAGAGAAAGAATACTTTTACCTCCTTTGGACAAACAGAAGGGAAAAGTAAGCAAAAGTAATACAGAGAGCAAATTGTATTGACAACACCAATATTGCATCAGTTTGCAAAAAGGGAGAAAATGGGCATTGTCTGAAAAAAAATGAGGAATGCTTATTAAAGTATCTGTATTGTTCTGTGAGTAAAACTTCTTAATTATCCATGCATGAAAGTCCTTCTCAGACTCTCTTTTACTAAGGCTTGGCCAACAAATTAATATGTATAGGAAAATTTTTCCACACATTTTTATACCACTACATGTTTAGAGAATGCTAGGGATGGGCTTGCATCCTCTCTTCTATGCCTGTTAAGAGGATGAAAAAAACCCAACAAAACCAGGTGAGAAATTGCAGATAAATAAAGGCTAAGATAAAAGTCAACTCCACTTTTCACACCCATTATTACTTTAAGAATGTTTTAGATTTGAAGTTCAGGTTTTAAACTAAATTACACACGATATTCCTTGCTTACGGAAAGCATGAAGGCCAAAGATAGTTCCGAGATGATTCATGTGCAATAGATTCAATCATGTAATTTTGTTTAAGAGAAGAAATAAGTAAGATTTGTTAAGACAGTTAAAAATAAGCTCTTGAGAGCATCCTACAACTTATTCCAAACAATTTTTTTCTACGTATCCTTGAAGAAAAACAACAGCAATTGCTCTTTTAGCAAAGCATACGTTGGCTGATCTCCCAGCTGTCTTATGTCATCCTGTAATTTCACATGAAGAGATTTTGAGGAAATGAATTTGACTTTTGCTGGTAACAGCTAAATAAAGTTTTAAATTAAAAAGTACAGATATAGTATTTACCAGTAATTGGTATTAAACTTTAATGTCTTTATTGGATACAGAGATCTTTTTAGAACTTAAATTTTAGGTTATTTACAAGAAAATGTACAATGCACAGTTAAAACATCCTATGTCCATTACAACAGTGAACAGCAGATGTTTCTACTGGTTGTCCAGCAAGGTCCCTCCATTCACATCCAACATGACACAGAGCTGCCTTCCTTTGGACCCTGTTAAGCAGTAATGGAGGGAAAAAACAGCTTATGAAGTTTGAAAATGCATATTTACATAAAATGACTAAACTGAGCTGCAATGATTAATGGTATCTGAAAACATCCACCTGAAAACAGAGTTAAGGGAAAGGAACCTGCCTGCAGGTTTTTAATACTATTTCTCAAAATAAGTATTTTTTCCTTCTTGGGAAGTTCTAACTAGTTCAGCAGTCCGAACTGCTACCCACAGTCTTCTAAACACTGCAATTCTCTGCCCTGGAAATGGCACTGGCATGGTCTTTTTTCAGCTGGATTTCTTTCCCTGCTCAGCTAGGAATGCTTCTCCTCTCTCACCTATCCCTTTTCCTTGTATCCTGCCTGACAGACTTCGTAGGGACGGGCTGTATGTTACAAAGACAAAACTCATCACAGGTGTTTTTCAGCTCTTATCTTTAAAGCCTGTTCACTTACACACGCTGACATTAAACACAGCATCTATTGAGTGATCCAGTATATATCCGCACTGGTATATATATCAGGATAGACCTCCAAGGCATCAGATCTCAAGAGTGGGAAGCAGGCTGACATCTCCACTAACTGATTTTTTCCCACCTCTCCCATTGCTGTTTCCCCTGCTGACAGAGCAGTGCTCAAAACAAAGACTTCCAGGATGCTCAGTTTCCCCTTTACACGATGAAGTACACAGTTCTGTTAGCAGCAGCTTGCACTCTGCCCCATCATCCAGATCATTAACAAAGATGTTAAATAGGACTGGACCTAGAACTGACCCCTGGGATACCTCCCTAATTAACGGTGTCTAACTAGACTTTATTCCACCGAGCACCACCCTCTGGGCCTGACCAGTGCTTTAAAGACTATTTAAATGCTTAACATGCCAAGCCTTTAGTTTCTTCAGCATCAATTGAACAAAGCCGATGCTCATAGATATGTATTATTAGCTGCTGAGATACGAAACAGTTCAGCAGAGTAAAACAGTAGGCCTAAGTCAGGTACTTTCTGCAGCACACAAGTCTCCAAGCTACCTCCTTGGTTGGTTGGGTCTTCTTTTAACTGTTTGAACACTGAGGCGAGAAGGCAGCTATAGAGATGGTGCACAAAGTAGGTTAGATTTGCTAAGCAGGCCTCATTTCAGTGAGAACAATGGAAGGTGCCCCAGCTTGTTCTGACATCTAACATGAGTTCCTGTTTATCATGCAAAATAAATGGCCACTGGCACTCTGCAATCCTCAGACACAGGGCACATGCAATGAACATCTATTCTAAGTGAGGGGTTTGTTTTTTTTTAAATCTAGTTAACTAGCTAACATCTCCTGCTTACCATGGAGACCAAACAGTAAAATTACTATATAAAACTCAGTGAAGGTTTTATACACGTAAGTACAAATACCACATGGATCACAAACCTAGTGATATACGTTTATATAGCACTTTGTGCTGTGTGAATTCTTTATCTGTGTAGTCGGAGTCAACATTGCAGTGACTGAACTAGAGGTAAGAAACCTTCCTGCCAAATATTCTTAAGAAATATGCTGAAACTCAACCTGAGCTCTGCATCTGGAATTCACTTCCTAAAGCAGGAAATGCATAAAACAATTCAGCAAAAAAATGGAGACAATTAATCAAAGAGAAAGGCACAAAGATCCTGACTACTTACTGCTCTGCCCAAGCCTACTGAAAGGCAACTGAGACTTTCTGTATGTGAGACAAAATGGGCCTAAACTGATCTGGAAAGAGCTAATCAACAAAAATGTAGATAATCCAAATTTTGATGATTTTAATACTTCAGTAAAACACACATTTCCCACCAAATTTACAGTTAGTATTAAAAGGGAACAGCAGCAAATATACACCAACAACCAAGACTCATTAGCAGCTTGAAGAATTCTGCAGGTCCTTAACAGAGTTAGCACATTACCTTACTTAGCTCTGGAAAGAGCTCTTGAATCCCAATGTCCAGCAGAACATAAGTTAACTGAAAGAAAATAAAGAAAATTAAGAACACTCCAAGGTAAAACTACTGGGTTTTATTTTAACTCTGAATTAGAGCTCACTCCTCTGCTTGAGCCATACATTCACTTCAGGAAATTCTGAGCTAAAAGGCAGGTTTCTCACATGTTCCAAATTACCTGTTTGTTGAGCACCGGTTGCTGCATTCCATCAAACAGAAGTCTGATGCCTTCATATTTAGCCTCTTCCCCAATGCATTTGCCTATTAAATCTAGACCAGATACCAACAAGAAATAACGTAAGTCATTAGGAAGCACAGCAAAACAGCTATACAATGCAGTTACAGAGCTCCAGTAACTTTAAAAAAATAAAGCTTAAATGAAAGAAAGTTCAAGTTTTATCCACCTAAAGCAGTACATGGAAAACAAACGAGCGTTTGGTTCCACCTTTATTCCTCCCTTTCTTTCAGGGCTGCACACCTAAGTAGTTACTACACTTTTTATAATATCAGTGTATTTCCTAATGCATCCTTTGATAAACCACAAATTGACTTCTTTTTATTACTTTCTGAATACCTTAGCAAATGGGCCCCTGGTTTAGAGAGTGTAAGGATGGCTCAGATTTGTCTTCCAACTTTATGGTGTGTCTTTCTCAACCCAGTTTTCATCTGGATAAAATACAAACCATAGGAGCATTCTAAAGTTGAAAAATTATGGT